TCTCAGCCTTGGTTTGGTCGCTCCTGTAAGACTGCATTACGCAATAAGCAGGAGTGTTATCAAGCCTGGGCTGCGGCTTCGGCGACTCGGGATTTAAACACCAGCAACTTAAAAAGAAGTATTACTTCGCCTCCAGGTCCTTCAAAAGAGTTATTGCCAAGGCAAAGTCAGAGCACATAGGCAGAATTGGCGAGAAACTAGTTCGCCTTCCTTCGGGAACCCGTGCATTCTGGTCTCTCGCCAAGGCTGTCCAAGGTAATTTCTGTAAGCCATCACTACCATCTCTGCACAGGGAGGACGACTCACTGGCCCAAGACGCAAAAGACAAAGCTGACCTTTTAGGCTTCCTTTTTGCGTCCAACTCGACTCTTGATGACGGGGGGAAACACCGCCGACCATTGGCGAGGAAACTAGTTCGCCTTCCTTCGGGAACCCGTGCATTCTGGTCTCTCGCCAAGGCTGTCCAAGGTAATTTCTGTAAGCCATCACTACCATCTCTGCACAGGGAGGACGACTCACTGGCCCAAGACGCAAAAGACAAAGCTGACCTTTTAGGCTCCCTTTTTGCGTCCAACTCGACTCTTGATGACGGGGGGAAACACCGCCGACCATCCCGCGGTGTGAGTGCTCTATGCCGGATGTGCTGTTCTCACAGCGCTCGGTTCGCAAAGAACTTCTCTCCCTGGAAATCGAGAAGTCGAGTGGGCCTGACGGAATCCCCCCAATTGTGCAGAGGACGTGTGCTCCGGAGTTGGTACCGGTCCTAACGCGTCTTTTCCGGTACTCCTACTCCCAAGTCGTAGTCCCGAATTCATGGAAGACAGCTTTTGTCCACCCGATCCCTAAAAAAGGCGACCGCTCAGACCCGTCCAACTATAGGCCTATCGCGATCACCTCCTTGTTCTCCAAAATAATGGAATCCGTTATAAACTGCCACCTCATGCGGTACCTTGAGGATCACCAGCTGATTAGTGACCGCCAATACGGTTTTCGTCGGGGTCGATCAGCTGTTGATCTTCTGGTCTACCTAACCCATAGATGGGCGGAGGCAGTAGAGTCCAAGGGGGAGGCGTTGGCCGTTAGTCTGGACATTGCGAAGGCCTTCGATCGGGTTTGGCACAAAGCGCTTCTTTCGAAGCTCCCTTCCTATGGGCTTCCCGAGAAATTGTGCAATTGGATCACCAGCTTCCTTGCAGATCGGAGCATCAAGGTCGTTGTAGACGATGCATGTTCTGACTACAAGCCTACTAACGCTGGTGTTCCACAAGGCTGTGTGCTATCACCAACGCTGTTTCTTCTGCAAATCAATGATATGTTGCTAACTGGTAACATTTATTGCTATGCGGATGACAGCACTGGTGATGCTCTATACACCGGCCGTGCCAATATTTCTCGGGAAAACGTCGCCGAGTACCGGAACAAACTTGTGTCTGAAGTCGAGTCTTTGCTGAACAAAGTCTCGGATTGGGGGCGACTAAATCTAGTCCAGTTTAATCCTCAGAAGACACAAGTTTGCGCGTTTAACGCTAAAAAGAACCCCTTTGTCGTATCTCCTCAGTTTCAAGGCACTCCCCTTCTTGCCTCAGCCAGTACCATTTTTTTTTTCGCATCTACCATGGGGAGTGCTCTGAGGAATTGTTCGGATTAATCCCAGCCGCCAAATTTCACGAACGCACATTGCGGAAGAACTCCCGATACCATCCACACCATCTGGATGATTGGCGGTCCACCACTGTGCGATTTAGAAGATGTTTTCTTCCTCGCACGACTTCCTTGTGGAATCGATTACCATCAGCGATTTTTCCGGACCGATACGACTTAAGGACCTTCAAGAAAAAGCGTACTCCTTTTTAAAAGGCCGGCAACGCATCTGCAATTCCCTCCCTGGTGTTGCAGTTGTTCATGGGTGGCGGTAGTCACTTACCATCAGGTGAGCCGCATGCTCGCTTGCCCCCTCTCCTATAAAAAAAAATCTACCATATAGCATTGCTTGTACTACTGTGTTCCAGCCTGAAGGGTATAGAGATTTTTACGTGGTAGAGCCATGCTGCAGCTATATTAGTAGTATAGTTGTAGCACAAATGGGTTGGCTCGACCTGGGAATGACCTGGGAGTGTTAATTCATATACGTTATTAGGTATAAATATAGATTCGGGTATAAACTGGAAAGAACACATAAAGAAAGTATCATCTAAACTTTCCCGTTTCTCGTATGCTCTATACGAACTTAAAAAAGTCACAGATACAAAAACGGCTACGTGTGCATACTATGCTTATGCCCATGCATGGCTCAAGTATGGCATTATACTATGGGGAAACAGCACAGACGTAAATAAATTATTTATTTTACAAAGAAAATGTATCCGCATAATTACAAATATAGATAACACTGACAGCTGTAAATCTTACTTCATTTCATTAAAAATATTAACACTTACATCTATATATATCCTAGAAGTATGCACATTTGTCAAAAAGAATATGCACTTTTTTTCAATATACTCCCGGCCTTGTTTTTTGCGTCCTAATAATAAATTAGCTCCACCTATTACAAAATTACAAACAGTGAAATCAGGACCCTATGGTATGTGTGTAAAAATTTATAATAAAATCCCTTAATGTCTACAAAAAGAAGAATCATTAAATAAATTTCAAAGAGAGCTTAAAAAATATTTAATTGAAAATGGTTTTTATTCATTGTCAGAGTTTTTCGGGGAAAAATAATAATTGTTTAATTAAATATATGTATATATACGTTTTTATTATCCTTGTATTAACAGTTATAGCAAATGTTTATTAAACCTAAAAGTAATGTTTAGCTTAAGCAAATAAAATAAGTAATTAATCTTTATAAATCAATTAAATAAAATTAATATATAATGTTGCTATTATCAGAGCTCATGTTTGGCTATATTATATCCAACATAAGAACTATTTATAACCACATGAACGCAATAAAATGTTTGAGTTTGAGTTTGAGTTTGACCATAATCTCACAGAAAACCAGCGTAAAATAGCAGCTTAGTGCTGTTGTGTTTTGTATGGTAAGTGTAGAGAACTGGAGACCGTTTTTACTGGCAAAGAGGCATTTCATCACGGGTGACAACTCATCTGCATCTTGAGTCTTTATTGAGGATAGATGTAGATGTCTATGGGTCACAGTAACCACTTACCATCAGGTGGACTGTGTGCTCGTTTGTCACCCTATCCTATAAAAAAAACCCTGTGAGACATTTAATCTAAATCCTCATTTGTAGGCTTCTTTGTTTGAAGTTGGCTGCAGGTGTTAGGTGTTTATGGGCTTCAGTAGCCACGTACCATCAGGTGGACGGACTGTAAATTCGTTTGAAACTTTAGTTTTTTTTAGTAACAAGTAGACCTTGGTTTGGCTCTGAGCATATGCATTATTATATGGTCAGATAGATATATCTATTTAAAATAGATTTATCAAAATATCAATTCCTTGAAACCTAAAAATCGGAATGATTCAATTTAATTTAATAAAAATGAAATTAGACAATTAGACGATCTTACCGCCTGCACTTACTACACGCAATTAGTTATTAATTATGGTGCAGAAGCTGACATTATTATTATATTTCACTCGTGTGGAAAGCTGTGTATTTAATACATAAAGAGCCTTAGATTTGATAAGGTATGATTAGCTCAATCAGTCAAGTTTAAATTCCTAACAAACGAACGAATTTTTAACGGTGTTTTAGAGATCAGACGGCAGACAATGAAATTTACTCGTGAGATCAAAAATAGAGAAAACAACGAGACATTTGACACTAATGACTGTAGAGTCTAGTCTAGAACTTTAGTCTATAGTACCTTGAATTTCTAGTTTTTCACTTCAAAATGTTTATTTCCAAGCACGTATCCTTTTACAATGGGTATTAGTTAGAGTGACGCTCAGTCAGCTGAAAGGGTCCTTATTACACATTATTATGCATTATGAATATAAGCTCCTGCGACCTAAAGATAAGAACTGTAATAGAAAAACGTGTACGATAAATTTTCTATAATATAAATAGAAAATACCTGCAGTTATAATTTTGCGATCATATTGACAGCTTGGTTAAGCAGTCGCTAAGCATTCGAATCCCGCACATGACAAGTTATTGTATCGCCTACAAATTGTTCTTTGTGCATATGTAATTTATGAATGTAGTATGTGGTAAGCTTATTCACTAAATTGTCGTTAAATTGAAGCCATATTAAGAGTGCCATCAAACGACGAGCATGTTTACGTGTTATTAAGGAAGTAAATAATAAGCAAAACCTCCGTGCATTGACGCGTACACACATGAGCGCGCGTATGCTGCAGTTATTGCTCAAAAAACAAATTTCAATTTGGATATTTTCAAATAAATGTAGAAATCTTATATACGCGTATTTTTAAAAACTGTAAAAAGTGTATATCAGTATTTAAGTTTTGAACTTAATTATTACATTTCGCTAGTATTTTTTTGAAATAGTATATGCTCGGAAAAAATATGCGTATACGTGAAATACTCAATTAAATACTTTATCGATTGGATTTTTGAAATACTATAAATTACTATAAAATATAGTAAAAATTATAATTTAAGTTCCGGGAAAAACTTCAATGTTCGAGTTCTCTTATTTTTAAGCGATAACCATTAAATAAATTAAATTTAGCCGTGTAGTTGCGGTAAAGAATATCCACCACCCCATATCTTCCCGTGGGTGTCGTAAAAGGCGACAGTGGGAAACAGGCAGGAGATGGGCAGCAGCATCTTACTGATAACAGCATTATCCCAATAAAAAAACTACGGTTGCCAACCCGCTCGCCAAGCGTGGCAACTATGGAAATATAGCGCCCAATGAAAAAAAGTTACGAAAAGACGGTCCTCAGTTCCCAGCGGCCCCGCTATTCCTGGCTACGGTGGCGGCCACGGTAACAGCGGGGCAGGGAGTGCTAAGAATCTCCGGTAGAAGTTCGATTGCCACCTATGACGACTCGACCTGGCAACTTAAAACGGACGCACCCTAACGACTGACGAGAAGATCCTGGAGCTGGAAGAAGAGATAGACAAGTTGCGCTGGAATATCATAGGACTATTCGAGCTCGGAAGAGAGGGGGAGGATACAGTAATTCTCGAATCTGACAACTTGTTCTATCACCGGGAGGGCGATCATCTGTCCCAAGGAGGTGTCGGATTTATCGTTCACAAGTCTCTCGTTAACAATGTCTTTACAAGATTGGGAGTGTGTCTCGACGAAGGTTGCGAACCTTATTCTGAGAATCAACGGTATTCGCTGAAGGTCATACAGGCTTACGTACCAATTACGTGTTAATCTGAGACTTCAATGCAAAACTAGGCACAAGATAGAACGGTGAGCTGAAAGTAGGGAAATTCAAAATAGGGCTGACTTTATGGAGAAAGAGGGACTCTTTATGATGAACCCTTTCTTCCAGAAGCGACCCACAGAAAGTGGACTTGGTCGACCCTCGAGGACTTCATTATAACGACCAGACGACAACTATTCAGTTACGTCTCCGTCATCGCGAGGGTGAAAACTGGTAGAGATTACCGAATGGTTAGAGGCACACTGAACCTAAACGTTAATATGGAGAGGTCTGGTCTAATGAAGTCAACACTCCGTAACAGGACAATTTAAATTCTGATAAAATCAACATTCCATTCAATAAAAATTCAATATTCCTAACCCCAACCAATGAAATTGAAATAGCTTCTATTATTTTATCACTTAAAAACAGCAATGCAGTTGGACATGATGGCATAAACATACGTGTACTAAAGGCATGTGCGAGTGGTTTAAGCCGACCTTTTGCCCATGTAATTAATTTGTCAATGGAACAGGGATCATTACCAGATATCCTTAAGTTATGTATTGTCAAGCCAATATACAAGAAGGGCGATAAATGTGATATGAATTATTATAGACCGATAACTATTATTCTAATACTATCTAAAATCTATGAAAAAGTCATCTTCAAGCGCATTGATAGCTTTATCAACTCAAATAATATACTGACAGAAGAACAATACGGTTTTCGCAAAAGTCACTCTACTACGTTGGTCTGCTACAATCTGGTACATTATGTCACAGAATGTATTAATGAAAAAATACCACTTTTTGCTTTATTTTTAGACATGACCAAAGCTTTTGGCTCAGTTTCACATAAAAGATTACTGGATAAACTATATAGATATGGTATTAGAGGTAACGCTTATGACTGGTTAGTAAGTTATCTGTATAATAGACAGCAATGTATTGAGATAGCAACAATCGTTGAATCAAGACAGTGTACCTTCCGGTCAAAATATCGCGTTAACCCATCGGGAGTTCCACAGGGCAGTATCTTGGGGCCCCTAATATTAAAAACAACAGGGGTTGTTTTTAATATTTATTAACGACTTACCAAACGCAACTCAACATAAATGTTTCATGTTCGCAGACGACACCACAGTGGTAATAAGATGTGATGAAATAGAAAAATCGAATGACATTATTAATGAGACTCTACACAACCTAATCAATTGGCTACATTCAAACAATCTCAAAATAAACATACAAAAAACAAAGGCCATCCACTTTACTTCTCACCGAGCAAGGTCAATGGATGCGCTAGTCGATTATTGCGGTAATATAATTGAAATTGTTAATGAAGTTAAATTTCTTGGATTTACTTTAGATAAACACTGTGACTTGAAAGCACATATAGACAATCTATGTACGAGAATAAATAAATTTGTATACGCGCTACGACGACTAAGTAATATCATCCATTGAAACAGCCCTATCGGCCTACCATGGCTATGTGTCATCACTATTAAGTTACGGCACTTGTGGGGAGGTTCAATGGATGTGATAACCGGGCTTTCATAGCCCAAAAGAAATGTATTAGGGCTATTTGCAGAGTAGGTTTTCTTGAAAGCTGTAAACCCCTTTTCAAAAATCTTGGAATCCTACCGCTACCGTGTCTGTATATAAAACAAAAGTGTATTTTTGTACGACAACACTCTCATTATTTTGTCACTAGAGGGGAAAACAAAAATAAACTTACCAGACATCGAGAAAGGATCATGCAACCTAGAATAAGACTTCAACTATACAGACGAAGTTGTTATTGTACGGCTATCAAAATTTATAATAAGCTTCATCCATGTTTCAAGGCTCTGCCGTTACCATTGTTTAAAAGAAAGTTACATTCCTGGCTTTTGACTAGGTGCTTTTATTCAGTCCAGGAATACTTAGATGACCAAGAGATTTTTTAATTGTGTTTGTAGCTTTTCTGTGTTTATTTTATTTATCAATTAAATAATTTGACATAAAATATTACAGAATTTATAAACGTAACGTAATGTTCTGTCTATGATTCACGTTAACCATTGGTTTTATATTTAGTCTATTAACTTATTTTTAACTCTAAGTAGATTAAGGCCTTAACAGTGGTTGAAATGCCTAAATCTTGGACATTTAAGTAAAAAAATCTCAATAACTGTTCATTTAATCCACAAAGAAAAAATACAGGATAACAGAAGAGGATTTGGTAAATGTTTTTAATTGAACAGAATTGTATTTTTGTCAACCCCTTATTAGAAAAAAAATCCCCAAAGAGCACCTATCTTTGTCATATTTTGCAAAATTTCTCCAAAACGGCACAAGCTTTTTAAATAGTTCTTACACTAAAAAAAAAGGTCTTAAAAATATTAATATCTTTAAGTGAGAGTTTTATTTTTATTCCCAGTTTTATAAGAGAATATATCATTTTTCCCTGAAATTGAATATATTTACGCGAGCGCGCAAGCTCCGTCGCCCTGTTGCAGTCAGTTTTCGGACATCGTCGAGGGTGGACCGCGCGTCGGTGTTGGAGCGACTTCATTCAAATATTTATTGGTTTTTTATAAGTTTATACTCAATTATAAATATTTTTATGACTAGAAATACTTAATTTAGTTAATATCTGTACACTGGTAACTGTAAATATTATTTCCTAACTAAATTAATTTTTAAAGTGCCCAAAGAAGAAGAAATTTTCGCGGCGACGCGCGTTGCTAAGTGAAATTGAAAAATGCATTTTTATACAATTTAGATGTGGAATAACGAACATGCTCTCGTTACTTAGATTTTGATAGTTTTTAATACCTATGTAATTTTATTGTTGCATATTTTTATTGATTAGTTGATACTGAATTTTATAATTATGTATTACAATAAAACGCTGTTTTTATGAGTATGACTTTATAAAATATTATTGGGGAGGGAAATATAGATACAGATACTTACATTTACGTACACTGTTATCAAATAAAATAAAATAATTCAAATAAATAAAAAACATTGTGCTTCCCTAATTATAAAAAAAACTATATAAAAACATTCTTGGGTTTATCTTTTTTTTTTTGTTAGACAAACTATTATCTAAAAAATGTAAAAATTTTAAATTGGAGAGGAGTTTCTCTACGTGATTAAGTTAGCAATGAAGATATTCGCAGTAGAACTAGAGTAACTGATATAACCCAACGGAATATTACAGCGAAATGGCAATGGGCTGGCTATATAACTTGGAAAACAGATAAAAAATAGGAAGAAAGGTTCTCGAGTGGCAACCTCGTACAGGTAAGCGAAGTAGTACTCAACCTTTATTCCTCTTCACGTTTTCTCATACGCTTTTCTTTACACATACACACATACACACACACACACACACACACACACACACACACACACACACACACAAATAGGTCGCAAATAATACTTACCTAGTACTATTAGGCAAGAGTGAATAGGTTTTTGTTAAGTCAGTGCAATTCACCATCTTAGGCTACATAACCACTTAACGATGGGATTGTAGTTGCTTTACTACTTGCTAGGTAAAAAAAGTAAAAAAAAATATACTCTGTGAAAGTTTACATTTAGATATAATTTTTCTAACCAAGCATAAAACTATGATGAGAATATGTATATAAGTATAAACGTAGCCTCACGTAATAGACAAGAATAATCGAAATTTAAGTAATCGATGCAAATATTGTTAAAGATGACGTAGCAACTGGTTAAATACGTCTTTTCTTTTATGTTGAATTTGTATAAGTCTTTTCTACTAAAAAAATGTCATCTGTGATCAACGGTTACGTCTAAAATTCTTAAGATATTTTCTAAAATATTGATATTTTTGAATATTAAAAAAAATTAGTAGATGCGCCTTTTTATCATGAGTCGAGTGGTATATTTAACTCATTTATTCAAAAATTGTTAGATGCGCCCTTTTTTCTTATGACGGCAGCATTGTTTCGCACCGAGCTAGATACAGGTCGATAGTGGAGGGAGTGTGAGTACAGTCGCGTTCTATAGTATATAATATAGTACAGGTATTGGGCTATTGTTTTATAATATTATAGTAATTAATTGTTTTATTGTAGAATCATAATAGGTGCTTTACTAGCTACTTAGAACTTTGGAAAAGGTTGGAATTAAAATGGATAATGTTTACTTGAACATTATTTGTTATTTCTATCGTAAAATATAAAGTAGTTTGTAACAAGAAAACTTAAGCTAAGGGTAGCACGCCGTCCATTATGTCGTCTTGGGTCACATGGAAGCCAGATGTTGATGGTGTGTTGGTGTTACTGGATGCTACTTCATCATCACTTTCATCTTCGCTTGAGCTTCCGTCATCAGGTCGATCACATGGTAATTTTTTCGGTATTCTTCCTCAACACTTTTAACTTTACTGCACAATTTTTCCCATTCACCTTCTCCTATCATATTTACCTTTCCGTTTACTAGCTCAGTCATAAAACAATAGATATAAATAATTTTAGCTTTACTTAGCCGTAGTACTTTAGAACGCGACTGTACTCATGCGCAGACACTCTCTCCACTGAAATTTAATTTGCCAGCGACAATAGAATTAGAGGCGGCAATCACTATAAAACTTGCAAGTCATTTTTAATAATTTACGAACCTCTTTTTAAAATCAAAGTATTGGCCGGTTTAAATACGGAAAGTCAATTAAAATAAAGTAAAAGTATTATTTTTTCCATCAATTCTGATAGATTAATCAACTTTCAATCATTATTGCAATTGATTTTAACTATGAAATTATTTTGCCGTGTAGTGGCGGT